TATATGTCTGAAATATAGTACATGGTTATACTTAGGTTAAACCATAAACAAGGGTATTATATGTTTGAGATACAGTAGAGATAAAAAGGTATACTCTATTATATCTCTAATCTTATACACCCAGATACAATACGGTCGAACCCTTCCGTATTATATCTCAATTATATGCAAATATAACCGTACTATAATTTTCATTTTCTAGTAGTGAGAGATTTAGAATGAATCACCATGAGATCGGTGTATATCATTAATCAATATATATAAAAGAAGATTACAACAAGATATCCTAAATAATAGGATCTATACAAATAAATAACAATTATACATAAATCTAGAATATTCTACTCTATTACCCCCCACAAGCGAAGTCGGGCAAGGACCGACACAAAGCTTGGAACGAAAATCCTCAAATAAAGGTCTGGGTAAGCTTTTCGTGAAAATATCCGCAAGTTGAAGATGAGTAGAGACATACTTAGTATGCGGCTTGCCAGAAAGAACCAATTCACGAACAAAGTGAAAATCGATATCTATATGCTTAGCGCGTTTGTGTGCAACGGGATTTTGACTAAGAAAAATAGCACTGCGATTGTCACACAGAATTGTTGGACGTCCAGAAGGCCGAACATATAATTCACGAAGTAAGTGAGTAATCCAAATAACCTCCGAAGCAGTGTTGGCAAGAGCTTGATATTCCGACTCACAACTAGAGCGAGACACGGTGGGTTGTTTCTTAGCACTCCAGGAAACTAAATTTCTCCCAAAAAAGATAGAGTAACCATAAGTAGATCTTCGTGTCTCGATACAACGTGCCCAATCAGCATCAGAATACCCCAAAATAGAGGGAGACGATGCATGAGAGAATGAAGCCCATATGACAGAGTGCCTTTGACATCACGTAAGATACGTTTGACAGCATTAAAGTGATCAACCATAGGAGCATGTAAGAATTGACTCACTTGATTAACGGCATAAGACAAGTCAGGACGAGTGGTTGTGAGGTACTGTAATGCACCAACTAGAGACCGATATAAAGTGACATCAGAAAATGGAGTACCCTGACTTGTGAAATCATCCGTAGTAGAAAGTGGTGTGGCTAGCAAGAGCACAGTGTCATGATAGGATACCTCCAATCCAAGAAAGTAATTAAGCTTTCCAAGATCAGTGATAAGAAATTCCTTATTCAAACGATTGATGAAAGTGCGTATAATAGAGGGATTATTGCCAGTGAGAATAATATCGTCAACATAGACTAATAAGTAGAGAAGAGTCGAATCCTTTTTAAAAACGAACAGCGACAGATCAGCTCTACTGCATGAGAATCCAAGACTTAAGATAAAGGCACTGAGACGTTGAAACCAGGCTCTAGGTGCTTGCTTGAGGCCATAAAGAGCCTTTTTTAAACGACAAACATGATTAGGAAAGCGTGAGTTAACAAACCCAGGTGGTTGCTCCATGAAGACAGTATCAGATAAATCACCATGCAAAAAGGCATTTTTAACATCAAGTTGATGCAAGGGCCATTTGTTAAGAACTGCAAGAGATAAGATAATACGAACAGTAGAAGCCTTAACAACAGGACTAAAGGTGGCAGAATAATCGAGCCCTGGAACCTGAGTAAACCCTTGAGCAACAAGACGAGCTTTGAACTTATCAATCGAACCATCAACATGAAACTTGGTACGAAAAACCCACTTGGAACCAACAATGTTGGTATGTGATGGACGAGATACAAGATCCCATGTGGAGTTTAATTTTAATGCACGCATTTCATCACACATGGCTGAAAACCACTTGGGATCTTTGGCAGCTGTTTTGAAACCTTTAGGCTCTTTTGCAGCAAATAAGGCATGGTGAATAGGAGATGACAAAACATAAGACAAATCAGCACGATGACGAGGCTTAAAAATACCAGATTTGGCTCGAGTTATCATAGGATGTCCTTGTGGAGGTGCAGCAGCAGTCGGAGATGCTGGCGGCGTGTGCGGAGGCGAAGCAAGTGGAGTATGGACCGGCGATGATGGATGATTCTGCTACTGATGATCAGGTTCAGGAGGAGGTTGCGGATGATCACTACAAAGTTGACACGTGGCTGCTGATGATGCCGAATTAGAGGTAGGAGAGACCGGTTGCGAAGGAGGAGATGGAAAAACATAGTCATCGCAATAGGTGGACAGCAAGAGGCTCGCATGAGGAGAGGCTGTTTTGTTATTAGAGAAGGGGAACAATTTTTCGTCAAATTGAGCATGACGAGTAATATAAATACGCCACGTAGAGGGATCAAGACACTGATATCCTTTGTATTGGGTATAATACCCAATGAAAACACATGGAGAACTACGAGGAGCAAGCTTGTGAGATGAGTAATCCCGCAAATAAGGGTATACGCAACAACCAAACACACGAAAATTACCATAATTTGGTTGTGATGAAAAAAGTAGCTCATATGGAGATTTGGTGTCAAGTAGCTTGGATGGCAGTCGATTTATGATATAAGTAGCAGAGCTGAAGGCATGTGTCCATAAAGTAGTAGGAATATAAGAATTAAACATCATAGTTAGCCCAGTTTCAGTGATATGGCGATGTTTACGTTCTGCTCGTCCATTTTGCTGAGGTGTGTAAGGACAAGACATACGATGATGTGTACCATTAGCGGTAAATATAGATCGAACCCGATTGTTAACAAATTCAGTACCGCCGTCAGATTGAAAAACCTTAATCTTGCTTGAAAATTGTGTTTGAACAAAAACAATGAAGGCTTCAAGGACATCATAAAAATCCGATTTCTTCTTCAACGGATAAAACCATGTGAATCTCGAAAAATCATCAACAAAAATGACATAATATCGAAAACCATCCAGAGATGTAACCGGTGAAGGTCCCCAAAGATCACAATGAATCAAATCAAGGACATGCAAGGAACGTTGGTCATTAAGATCAAATGAAAGCCTTTTATTTTTAGACAATTGAAAAGGAGAGCATGCATTCGTATGTGGCAAAATAGATGTAAGAGACAAACAACCCAATTTATTTAAACATGAAATAATGTCATATGAAACATGACCCAAACGACAATGCCAAAGTTCAAAGGATGCATGTAAACGTCTAGAAGATAATTTTGCCAAAAAAGCTAGGTGACCACGATCCAAAACATATAAGCCATTTTTACGCCTTCCTTGTGCTAGAGTTTCCTTGGAATGACGATTCTGAATGAGAAAATTTGGATTAGAAAATACAATATCAACTTCATTGTCTTCGGTTAATTTGCTAACAGATAGCAAACTTTTGGTAATATTGGGAACCACAAGAACATCAAGTAATGAGATATTAGGGAAAATTGAAGATTTTCCAATATGAGAAATAGAAGCATGTTGACCATTGCCAAAAAAACACAGAAGCATTACCTTTATAAGCTGTAGAGCCATCAAGATTGGAAGGATTTGGTGTCATGTGGGCAGATGCACCGGTGTCAACAAACCAATCCGGAGTAGATGTGTTACATTGGGATTGAAAGGCCTCAGCAAGATTTGCGTCAAGGGAAGGTGGTCGTGAAGCAAAGGTTTGCAAATCGGGGCATTGATTCGCATAATGTCCATCTTTCCTGCATAATTGGCAATGAGGTGGTCTTCTATTACCTCTGCCTCTACCACGTTGAGAATGGCCACGAAAGGAGTTGTTGAAGCCGCGACCTCGGCGTCATGAAGAGGTAGAGTGGTTGGAGCTGTACGAGAAAGTGGTATTAAAGGCAACAGGAGGCACAGAGGAATCACTCACCTATTGAAGAAACAATTCATGACTTTCTGCTTGGGAGACAAGATCACGGAAATTCGGACGAGGCGTGATGAGGCGCTGTGTTGTCGAGAATGTCTCGAAGGAAGAACCCAGTCCACACAAGAACCAGTAGGACTTGTCATCATCAGCAAGAGAGTGGCCGATAGAAGTAAGCTGATCACATATGCTTTTAAATTTACGAGAGTACTCAACAACAGTAGAAGTACCTTTTTTTAAGTGCCGGAGAGAATCCTTGAGGGTGTGAGTGCGCTCGAGAGAATCATGACTATAGGTGGAGGCAAGGGCAGTCCAAAGCGCATGAGAGGTATTGTGGCCTAGGGCTTCGGCCATAGCTTCTTCAGACAGAGAAGCTTGAATGAGAATTAAGGCTTTTTGATCAGCAGCGATCCATTTGGCATAGGCAGGATTTGCAGTGGAGGTGTCGCCGGAAACAATGGTGGTCGCCGGTTTAGGTGAGGAACCATCAACATAGGGCAATAATTGTTGATAGGTTAATAAGGGCAGCATCTGTTTACTCCATAACAGATAGTTGGTGGAGTTTAGCTTGATGTTGAGCATATGAATGATCGTGGAAAGAGAGAGGGGTGCATCATCGGTGGCCATGAGAATAATAGCAAAGGAAGAAGAAGGGGGGGGGGGGGGGGGGGGGAGTACGGCCAGAATTGTGTTTTAGGCTGATACCATGAGAGATTTAGAATGAATCACCGTGAGATCGGTGTATATCATTAATCAATATATATAAAAGAAGATTACAACAAGATATCCTAAATAATAGCATCTATACAAATAAATAACAATTATACATAAATCTAGAATATTCTACTCTATTAAGTAGTTTGTATTTGAACCCGGCCATAATCTATTCCTTCTACATCCTTCCATATCTTTCGGTAGTTTGTTTATAAAGAGTTATAGACCACCTACAATTACCTCTCTTACTTTGTTATTCTCTAATAAACCGGATATATCTATTAAGTAAAAGGATATTTATTAAATATGGTAAGTAGAATCTAAGTCGAACATCATTTTAAACTTTCCTTTAGGCCCAAGTAATTTGTATTCTTTACTTTAAATAAATGTAATTGCTGATTACGTTTTACTATCAAGTTATTTGAAGCTAACTTTTTACTTCTTGTTTCTCTACTCGACAGAAATCACACATGCAAAAAAATCCAACATAGCCGCCGGCACTCACCGGTTGCAAATTGAGAATGAGGAATTTGCAGAAAATTCTCTCTATTGTTTTCCTCCTGTTCTTCATCTTCACTGCACCATCCTGTGCGGATATCATATCTGTGAAGATCGGTTCTGATGACCGAGGTCTGATCGACTTCCACAAGTTCGAGTTCACAAACATGGGTCAACTCTCCGTTTCCATCTCCTCCGTCTCAGTCTCTTCTATGCCTGTCACCTCAAACTTATCACGACCTGATCTTTCACGTATTGGTTTCTTCCTTGTCTCGGACTATGCATTGTACTATATAATTGACGAACATTCATGTTACCTGGATTCTAAATACATCTCACTCCTATTTACTTTCCAAGATATCTCGCCTCCTTCTCAGTCTTCTTTCAACAAATCGTATGCTGTGACATATCCAAATTCCTACACACTCACATTCGCCAACTGCAACCCCCTATCACACGTAACAATGGACGTGAAGACAGAGTTCTACAACACCCATAATGGCACTACTAAAGACTACCTACCAGCCGGGCAAACAAAGCTCCCCTCTCTTTACTTCAATTTGTCCCTCATTTACCTGTGTTCTCTAGCTTTTTGGATCTCCATATGCTTCAAGAACTATCCATCTTTTCATTGGATTCATTTACTCATGGGTGTTTTGCTTCTTATGAAGGGGCTTAACTTGTTATCTGCAGCCAAGGTCCAACATTCTATAAAGGTTACAGGCACTCCTCTTCATGGATGGAATGTCTTGCTTTACATATTTCAGTTTATCAGGACTGTGCTCTTTTACACTGTGATGGCGGCGACCATTGACGGATGTTGGTTCTTGAAGCCGATTATTCTAACTAAGAACAGTTTGATGATTGTGATCCCACTTCAATTTTTTGCTACAATAGCTTCTAAAGTGGCACGTGAGGTTTTACTTGAAGAATCCTTGCTGTGGGACATTGGATCACTTTTTGCAGCAAACATTTGTAAAACTTTTTTCATCGTGCTCATTGGATTTGCGGTTTACTTCACTTCAGAGACTGATGAGGCAGTGACAAATTATTCTGCAAAGTTTTCTCTAATTCGGCTGTTCTATGTTGTGTTTATTTTATGGTCGTGCGTTGATTTTGTTTGTGGAGTTGTGGGCAGTGATTGGGCAATGGCAGCAGAGATAGCGACTCTTGTGTTGTACATGGTAATGTTTTTATTGTTCAGGCCATCTGAGAAAAGCGAATATTTTGTTCCACCGGTACCAGAGGGGCTCGTTGGGGATGCGGAGCTTGGATGTGGTGTTTGAGCTTTGACATGCTGTGACTTTTCAACTGAATCTTTAAGTAGTTTTTTTCTGGAACAATTAGATTTTAATAACAGTTTATTGACATAGCATGAACGGAATTAATGATAGTACGTACTGTGTTCAGTTTTTTTTTTTAGTTGTTAATGTTTCTGGTTCAAAATGTCACTCGTAGTTCTTTAATATATTATTTTAATTTGTTGATTGAATTCGTTTTGTGTTGACACAACCTTTGTTTCATCGTATTCTATATCTTGACCATTGTGATTTGTCTAACTATCTAACCAATTTAGAGATGTTCATATTAAATATGTTACCCATAAAGACTACCCAAATCAAGAGAAATTATAGAAACTAGTAAAAAAGTCTGGGCTTCGCCCGGGTCGGTTTTTCATTTTTCATTAGTAACTGTGGGTGTTGGATTAATTACCAGGATTGTAATACAAATGGTGCGCAACTTAAATCAATATGAGAATCCTAGAATTGCTTTTGCGAATCAAAATACTCTTTAATTAGTAGTTACACAAAACCAGAGATACAAACAGTAACATATACACACACATACCAAAATGGAGTTCTTAACTTTTTCATCAAATAGATGACAAACTTGCAACAAGTCAACATATTTTGTTGTATTTACTCACAGTTTTACCAAAATTTACTAATATACAATAGAGAAGTACCTAAATTCGGAACTATAAAAATGAGTTGAAATGAGGAACTCGCAAACATTTTTTGAAAAGAACTTCCCGCAATTAGTTAAACCGTTATCCGACATGGTTCGGTGATTTCTCTCCAATGCATAATATTTAATGAATCTGAAGCAATGGCATCTTCAAGAGCCACAAAACCACACACAATTACTAACGGCAACCAAAGTGATGGAAACTTTAGATAAGAAAGATAAATCTGTGAAAGATTGTAAAATATTACAAGTCACACAACCAAAAATAAGGGTTGAGAAATCATGCTGGTGAAAATTGTTTGTATCTTTTTAATGATTAATCCAATTATAACATTTTTGTACATCTTTTACATAAATGCAAGAAGTCGTAGGAGTTTAACTTCAGAATGGGGTTGATCCTAAGAAACACTTTTTACCATCGTTCTTAACCCTTGAACTTTATATATAAAAGGGTTCTGAGTCAAAACACATGAATAGCATATGAGCATAAGAAAATTAAATTGTTCATAACATGCAAAAAGAAATCCATTACAGATTGTTAAATTTTTGAATTTTCAATGGAGAAAACTGGATCCAACTGCAGCTCTTCCGGCACATACACTTTTGGTTTCTTGGCCACTCAGGTTAATACAAACTCCATATCTACATAAAAAACTCGCCACAATTTACCTATGAATGGGGTGTGAGGATGTTGTTGCCTACCAACCTTTTTTCCTTTTAAATTTAAAAAATACAACATTTACCATTAATATTAATTAAAAGAAAATATAAAATTTCATTAAACATAAATATTAATTAAAATACATGTATTTAAACTCAAGTAACTGTATTACTTAAAATAGTTTGATCATATTCATTAGTCATTAATCTATATACTGTAAGAGGATCCACAATGGGAGTTTAATAGATGATGATTAGGATTGAATAGAATTTTAATGGAGTGTGAGTGATGACATGGATAAGAGTTGCATGATCATTGAGTGGTTCAATGGATTTTATGTTTTCTTTTTTAATTAAATTTCAAACCAAATATAGAAATCTAGTAAACTTTGTAGGGTTTAATGGAGTGTGGATGTTAAAGAGTATAGTTGAATAAAAAGTGAAATGTTGATGTGCAGTGATGTGTCAATCCATTGAACTTCTTAGAGTTCAATGGATTGTGGATGCCCTAATAAATGAAAGTTTTTTGACACTTGTCACACTCTCATTCAATTTGTCAAATGTCATTTTGTGGTTATTTTGATTAATTTTTATTCCACATGTGATTTTATTGTTTTTTTATTTTATTAATTTCACATAGTATTTAAATATAATAATAAATGCATATTAATTTCCTTGATGAACTTTTTTTTTAATTTCAAAATTACTAAATCAAAGCTTCATTAATATCCTTTATTTATTTATCTAAAGTATTTGTTTAAATTTAGAGAAAAAACACTTTAATTTTTATAATTCAATATTTTCATTATTTTTTTTTTATAAATTCAAACTTCTCAAATGTTTAGAATTTTGTATTTAGTTTTTTTCTTTAAATAAATTCATGTAATATATGAGTCTCATACTTAGTGATGTTATATACAATTATCATGAAATATATTTTAAAAGCTTTTGTTATATTACAATTTATATTACTTTTAATAATATTTAATTTATAGAAAAAGTGGAATAACACTTAAAAGTTCCCTTAATTTAAAATCGTATATACGAAACATAAAGGTGTTTTAAAAGCAATATGAGCATTTGTGAGAAAATCTCATCGGCAAAAGAGGAGTGAGAAAATCTCATCGGAAAAAGAGGAGTGAGAAATTGGTGATATATTACCTCTAGCATGTTACTGCTGGCAAAAAAAGGGATAAGGCCCGGTGTTTACCGCTGGTAATAATGGCCATGTTGGAATACCGACGGCAAAACAGCTCCCACACCATTCAGCCTTAAAGGAACCTATTCTCTAGGAATAGTTAGCTTAGTTCTAGGTTTTTATTTTCTTATCTTTGTTGGATATTAATAGGCTATTTACTTCTCCATCTATTTTTCATTATTCCTCTCGTATACAACAGCAACAGATAACACCTGCTCTTCTTTTATCTCATTTCTTCATAGGTTGGAGGGGGGCTGAACTAACACTTGTTTCAACAATTATAATTAATAAAAAATATCCTTTAAATATGCTTTTAAGCCATAATCCATGCTTTTATTTCGGATTTCAACTTAAGAACACAAATTAACTATAAGCTTTATAATAAAATTAATCATTTACTTTGATTTTGACAGACAGAAAGGCATACACAAAATCTACGAATTATAGTTAATGGGAAAAAATTATTCTACCGACTCAACTAGAATAATGGGTAAATTATCTGTGAGAGGTAAAAGAACCTCCTCTTTCTCAGCTTGGGTGGGATTAAGTGATTTTTGTGCATCAACGGAACAATTATCAATAACCGATACCTATAAAATTCATATAAGACTTTGTTGAAGTAAATATTATTATCAGCAAGGAATTAATGAGCAAAATAGCAATGTACCTTTTTTGATTTGTTTTCATCCTATTACATCACGTTACTTAAAAGAATCTACATAAAATATTTAAGTGAGCAGATTTATCAAAAGCACAATCCCTTGATAAGAAAGATATTAGATAAAACATATGAACGGATATTGCCATTTCAAGCATCCACTGACTAAGGGCATTGATCCTCTTCATGTGCTTCTTCAAATCAGTGACAAAGTTACTCTATTAAGATGTTATTTCAATTTTCAATCTGTTTTATTCAGATCAGTTATTGCATTTTCTTTTTGGGTTATCAGTAACATTGCAAGTTGTCATGAAGCAAAAAAATGTATTATCAGAAGAGTGAATATCCACACCCAAATATCTCAACTAGGGACCAAGAAAAAACCAACTTCCCTCACCACAATAGCTCCACAGTACCTCGATATTCAAATTTGTGCATATAATATTAAGAACAATCGGTGCATAAAAAGGATTTTTTTATATAAAATTTTAAATGTAGATAAATAAATATTTTGCCAAATATCAATTGCACACTTTTATCCCATAGATACACACAAATACACATACACATATACACACACCATAATGTATTAAGACAAAAAAAATGAAAAGAGTAGGGTCAATTGTAACGACCTGTCAAGGTTTCCTTTGTCACGGCCATTTTAGGAGTGTTGTGCCAAAATTATACACCTTTAAAAAGAAATGTAAATATCAAAATTTTCAATTTTTCAAAGTTTTTTTTTACAGTTTGTACGTTGTTTAAATCATAACACTTCTTTTAATAGAACAACTGAAAAACAATTTCCATTTTCTTGAAGATTTTAAGCAATCACAAACCTCCTGATCATTAGAACTCATTGATTCCCCCTGTAACAGAAACCGGTTTCTTATCATTCTCAAAGCGCCTTAACACATTATTGAACAACAAAAGTAGTGAAATTTAAAGGAAATCGGAAAAATATGTATGTATATTATGTTCAATCCATCAATAAAAAAGAACGGAATCCAAAACAAATTTATATATATATATATATATATATATATATATATATATATATAAAGAGAGAGAGAGAGAGAGAGAGAGAGAGAGAGATAGGTTCAAATGTTTTTGACAACTATTGTGTGCATGAATGCACCAATAGGAATTTAGGAAAAAATAAATAATTAAATAAATCATTTAAGGGTATTTTAGTAATCTTTGTATATTTAATTATGGTAGATAATTAATATATTTATTATCCCTTTAAATATGGAATATCAAAGTCAAACCCGATAGAAATTGGAAGGCAACGAAGGTGGAAGCCCTAATTTCATATCAAAACGATGCAGCCTTTTGTCTCACTCCTCCCTTCTTCTCAATTCTCCTTCTGCGGCACCAAATTCAACACGTCCATTCAGGTACCCTTTTACCCTTGTCATGCATTGCATAATCTTGAAAAGCAAAACACTTCTGAAACGATTTCTACTGATTACCAAAGTTTTGGTGTAAAATTGGTAACACAATTACAATCGATCTCGAAGAAGGCCATCAGGTTCATGTTTCATCAGGATCTTTCTTTCCAGGCTATTTGTTGAAGAAGGCCATCAGGTTCACTTTTCCTCATTTACCCTTCGTTATCTCCTATCTTTGATTAATTAATTTTTAAATGAATAATCTTACAATTTCCCCATATTCTCCATATTACAATGTATACAAATGTTCATAACTAATTCTTTTATGAAATTTTTGATAATCAATGTATACAGGTAACTCTGTTCACCAGAGGAAAAAACCCATCACACACCCATGCACAACAAATCCTT